GATGTCATCAAGCCTTGATGGCCGAGAACAGACGTTACTTTTTGTTTGTATTACTTTGAGTCATCACTGCTGGTTTCTTACGTAAACGAACACATGAAGGCATACAAACAAGCACACACACCTTGATATTGGCATGGAACTTGAACTAACCAAATCAGCGAGCCGATACAGTTTACTACATACTGCATTTTTGGATGAGCCGGTCAGTTTTCTTGACTCGTTATCTTGAATATGCTTTTAAAAATGCTACCTACCCTATTCATATGATGGAGGAAAGCTTGGCACATTTCACCGGAATCGGAGGAGATTGCCTCGGAAACAGCATCAACTATGTCCTACTTTACGAAATAGTAAACCAATAGCTTTTGCAGTCAGTCACCTTCTCTTTTAGTTTAACATAATGACGGGCCATTTCGAAAAGTATGATTTCTTGCTCTGATGGCGTCTGTCACGGCGTAACGGACTAGAGCTTGGCACGGGTTCATCATAGTCGCGGGACTTATTCAGTCCACACCAGTCAATTCTCCTTCAGTTTTGGGTGAGAACAATTCACAACTTCCCTCCGACCAACTAACTTTTCACTCGAAATGTAAAGTTGAGTCACACTAACTCACTAAGGCAGTCTTCGAGACCCAGCTTTTCAACACATGTAGAGATTGGTAATTGTTCGCTTGTGCAAAAAGTCTTCAACTCCTCGTCTTGGAAGCCTGATGAATCGGGTCAGAAAGCTCCATCAGTTCCAACCAATCGGCCACTTTGCAATGGGGCCAATTCATGAAACACTTTTACGAGTTGCACGAACATTACACTTCTTGTATGTATGAATGTATGTATGTATGTGTGTGTGTGTGTGTGTGTTCGTATAACTGACTGGGGGTAGCAAACAGCCCTCTTTGTCGTCGTCATGCCATCACGGAAACATGTCATCACAAATCGATACATGTACTGTCCCGAATCAATGAAAACTTGTTCATCACTTAGATTTGGAGTTGTGTTGGTCTCTTGTCCAGGCAAGTGCAGATCGGCCAGTTCTGTACCTTGGCGCCAAGTTGGCTGCAGCCTATTCGCCTACTCACCAAACGGATGGACGAACAGATTGATGGACGGATGGATGGACAATCCGTGATGCTCTCTTCCGGTTTGTGGCGACCGTGTTTGGCTGTCTGTCCGACTTGTGCTGGTGTGCTCTGCTCGGAGGCAATGGGAGGCGGCAAATTGGGTCTTTGGGAATGCTGTTTGTCGACACGACTCGCAATTCAGGCATGACGAAGCCTCCACGAGGCCTCGGACGCCCACGTGATACCGACAGCACTAGACCTCAAGCAGAAATGTGAGAGAAAGAGAGAGAGAGCAATGCATAGGTGGAGAGGGAGAGATGCTGGATCAAGCCAAATGCAAGAGGCAAAAGACGAGGCAGAGGCTGAGATGGCGAATGAGTGCATTCGTCCGGCGGATGGACGAGTCTCGACCTCGAGCGTTGATGGGCAATTTGACGTCCGATCGACCGAAAGGGGGTAAAGTGGAGCGCCTCTTCGACTCCATCCTGCAGCGTTCACTGGTCGCCCCTTTCTCAGACGCGTGATTGTCGCACCACGAGGCTCGGCACAAGTCTCCTCTCAATCCGCACAGTTGCCAGGCCGAAAGTGGCTTCAATAAATATTTGTGTGTGTGTGTGTGTG